ACAATGTGAATTTATCTCTTGTCTTCTCCTGTTAAATGTTTGGTGAGACAATGTGAATTTATCTCTTGTCTTCTCCTGTTAGATGTTTGGTGAGACAATGTGAATTTATCTCTTGTCTTCTCCTGTTAAATGTTTGGTGAGACAATGTGAATTTATCTTCTCATGTATGTCTTCTGTTAAATGTTTGGTAAGACAATGTGAATTTATGTCACGTTTGTCTTCTGCTAGATGATTGGTGAGACAATGTGATTTTATCTCCTTTGTCTCCTGTTAGATGTTTGGTGAGACAATGTGAATTTATCTCTTGTTTGTCTACTGTTAGATGTTTGGTGAGACAATGTGAATTTATCTCTTGTCTTTTCCTGTTAGATGTTTGGTGAGACAATGTGAATTTATCTCTTGTCTTTCCGTGTTAGATGTTTGGTGAGATAATGTGAATTTATCTCTTGTTTGTCTACTGTTAGATGTTTGGTGAGACAATGTGAATTTATCTCTTGTCTTTTCCTGTTAGATGTTTGGTGAGACAATGTGAATTTATCTCTTGTTTGTCTCCTGTTAGATGTTTGGTGAGACAATGTGAATTTATCTCTTGTCTTTTCCTGTTAGATGTTTGGTGAGACAATGTGAATTTATCTCTTGTTTGTCTCCTGTTAGATGTTTGGTGAGACAATGTGAATTTATCTCTTGTTTGTCTTCTGTTAGATGTTTGGTGAGAAAATGTGAATTTATCTCTTGTTTGTCTCCTGTTAGATGTTTGGTGAGACAATGTGAATTTATCTCTTGTCTTTTCCTGTTAGATGTTTGGTGAGACAATGTGAATTTATCTCTTGTTTGTCTCCTGTTAGATGTTTGGTGAGACAATGTGAATTTATCTCTTGTTTGTCTCCTGTTAGATGTTTGGTGAGAAAATGTGAATGTATCTCTTGTTTGTCTCCTGTTAGATGTTTGGTGAGACAATGTGAATTTATCTCTTGTTTGTCTTCTGTTAGATGTTTGGTGAGACAATGTGAATTTATCTCTTGTCTTCCCGTGTTAGATGTTTGGTGAGATAATGTGAATTTATCTCTTGTTTGTCTACTGTTAGATGTTTGGTGAGACAATGTGAATTTATCTCTTGTTTGTCTTCTGTTAGATGTTTGGAGAGACAATTTGAATTTATCTCTTGTTTGTCTCCTGTTAGATGTTTGGTGAGACAATGTGAATTTATCTCTTGTTTGTCATCTGTTAGATGTTTGGTGAGACAATGTGAATTTATCTCTTGTCTTCTCCTGTTAGATGTTTCGTGAGACAATGTGAATTTATCTCTTGTTTGTCTCCTGTTAGATGTTTGGTGAGACAATGTGAATTTATCTCTTGTTTGTCTTCTGTTAGATGTTTGGTGAGACAATGTGAATTTATCTCTTGTCTTCTCCTGTTAGATGTTTGGTTAGACAATGTGAATTTATCTCTTGTTTGTCTTCTGTTAGATGTTTGGTGAGACAATGTGAATTTATCTCTTGTCTTCTCCTGTTAGATGTTTGGTGAGACAATGTGAATTTATCTCTTGTTTGTCTTCTGTTAGATGTTTGGTGAGAAAATGTGAATTTATCTCTTGTTTCCTGTTAGATGTTTGGTGAGACAATGTGAATTTATCTCTTGTCTTCTCCTGTTAGATGTTGGTGAGACAACGTGAATTTATCTCTTGTTTGTCTCCTGTTAGATGTTTGGTGAGACAATGTGAATTTATCTCTTGTTTGTCTTCTCCTGTTAGATGTTTGGTGAGACAATGTGAATTTATCTCCTGTTAGATATTTGGTGAGATAATGTGAATTTATCTCTTGTTTGTCTTCTCCTGTTAGATGTTTGGTGAGACAATGTGAATTTATCTCTTGTTTGTCTTCTCCTGATAGATGTTTGGTGAGACAATGTGAATTTATCTCCTGTTAGATATTTGGTGAGATAATGTGAATTTATCTCTTGTTTGTCTTCTCCTGTTAGATGTTTGGTGAGACAATGTGAACTTATCTCTTGTTTGTCTTCTCCTGTTAGATGTTTGGTGAGACAATGTGAACTTATCTCTTGTTTGTCTTCTCCTGTTATATGTTTGGTGAGACAATGTGAATTTATCTCGTGTTTGACTTCTCCTGTTAGATGTTTGGTGAGACAATGTGAATTTATCTCTTGTTTGTCTTCTGTTAGATGTTTGGTGAGACAATGTGAATTTATCTCTTGTTTGTCTTCTCCTGTTAGATGTTTGGTTAGACAATGTGAATTTATCTCTTGTTTGTCTCCTGTTAGATGTTTGGTGAGACAATGTGAATTTATCTCTTGTCTTCTCCTGTTAGATGCTTGGTGAGACAATGTGAATTTATCTCTTGTCTTGTCCTGTTAGATGTTTGGCAAGACAATGTGAATTTATCTCTTGTTTGTCTCCTGTTAGATGTTTGGTGAGACAATGTGAATTTATCTCTTGTCTTCTCCTGTTAGATGCTTGGTGAGACAATGTGAATTTATCTCTTGTCTTGTCCTGTTAGATGTTTGGCAAGACAATGTGAATTTATCTCTTGTTTGTCTTCTGTTAGATGTTTGGTGAGATAATGTGAATTTATCTCTTGTTTGTCTCCTGTTAGATGTTTGGTGAGACAATGTGAATTTATCTCTTGTCTTCTCCTGTTAGATGCTTGGTGAGACAATGTGAATTTATCTCTTGTCTTGTCCTGTTAGATGTTTGGCAAGACAATGTGAATTTATCTCTTGTTTGTCTTCTGTTAGATGTTTGGTGAGATAATGTGAATTTATCTCTTGTTTGTCTCCTGTTAGATGTTTGGTGAGACAATGTGAATTTATCTCTTGTCTTCTCCTGTTAGATGTTTGGTGAGACAATGTGAATTTATCTCTTGTTTGTCTCCTGTTAGATGTTTGGTGAGACAATGTGAATTTATCTCTTGTCTTCTCCTGTTAGATGTTTGGTTAGACAATGTGAATTTATCTCTTGTTTGTCTCCTGTTAGATGTTTGGTGAGACAATGTGAATTTATCTCTTGTCTTCTCCTGTTAGATGTTTGGTGAGACAATGTGAATTTATCTCTTGTTTGTCTTCTGTTAGATGTTTGGTGAGACAATGTGAATTTATCTCTTGTTTGTCTTCTCCTGTTAGATGTTTGGCGAGACAATGTGAATTAATGTCTTGCTTGTCTCCTGTTACATGTTTGGTGAGACGATGTGAATTTATCTCGCGTTTGTCTTCTGTTAAATGTTAGGTGAGACAATGTGAATTTATCTTCTCATGTATGTCTCCTGTTAGATGTTAGGTGAGACAATGTGAATTTATCTCTTGTTTGTCTCCTGTTAGATGTTGGTGAGATAATGTGAATTTATCTCTTGTCTTCTCCTGTTAGATGTTGGTGAGACAATGTGAATTTATCTCTTGTTTGTCTCCTGTTAGATGTTTGGTGAGATAATGTGAATTTATCTCTTGTCTTCTCCTGTTAGATGTTTGGTGAGACAATGTGAATTTATCTCTTGTTTGTCTCCTGTTAGATGTTTGGTGAGACAATGTGAATTTATCTCTTGTCTTCTCCTGTTAAATGTTTGGTGAGACAATGTGAATTTATCTTCTCATGTATGTCTTCTGTTAAATGTTTGGTGAGACAATGTGAATTTATCTCTTGTTAGATGTTTGGTGAGACAATGTGAATTTATCTCTTGTTTGTCTTCTGTTAGAAGTTTGGCGAGACAATATGAATTTATCATTTGCTTGTCTTCTGTTAAATGTTTGTTGAGACAATTTGAATTTATCTCATGTTTATTTCCTGCTAGATGTTTGGTGAGGACCTGGCGTGACAGATTCTGATGTCCTGTGTTTTAACTCTTGAGGTTTTTATTCCTGTGATTGAGGTTTCTTCATATCACTAGTTAGATTTTAGTTAAAGTATCTTGTTGTTTGTCAATTTGAGGCAGACCTCTGCAAAATCAAGATCTTCCCATTTTACTGAGGTTTCTCGTGATTTCTGTTTAGTTGTTTGAGGTCCACAACATGATCCAAACAATTAACACTCATCCCGGCCTTACTCACTGTGAAAAGGATTTGGTTGTTTTCTATTTGAGAATTATCTTACAGGTACAGTCCTTTTATAGATTCTATATGATGGATACCACTTCTTGGGTATACTATAATTACTCAGTTTCTAGTTAACATATCTATTCAACCTTTCAAACGACACCCTTTATAAAGTCTACAGAGATCACGAAAAGGGGGGGGGGGGGATTGCCATTCATGGGAATTTTTAATAGTCATGCTTAGCGTGGCAATGTGATCGCTGCCTTGTCGAAAACAATCTGTTCTTGTCCAAGTATTTTGTCACAGCCCCTCTGTGATGATTCTTGTAAGTACCTTACTTGAAACAAACAGAAGTATTAGCTCTCTCCAGTTGTAATATTGTGGCATTTCTCCTTTTTTTTTTTTTGGCAGTTTTACAAGGTAGCCCAGTTTTCAGTAGGATGTGACTCTCCTCTTCCCAGATCTGCTTTAGTAGACGTTTGAGGATATCTGCAGCTATGGCTGGTAGTTTATCTGTACATTAGGCTGGCAATATAATCATCTGCATATACGGCGTGGTCTTCTTTGAGTGCCGTCTGGGCCAGCTGCTTAATATTTCCAGCACTGTCTATTGCTCCCAATATTTCTAACTGGTATACGTGAACTAAACTTGTAAAAGTTAGGCTCTTGTCGCTTGATGTTTCTCGTACTTTCTATTGCTCCATTTCTAACTGTGGCTGGACGTGTGCTCACATTTTCTAAGTTATTAACAGGTATCTTTTTTTTTTGTGGGGCGGGGGATCGGTTAAGTATACGTCACTAGTTAAGATCTTTTCTTAGTTATCCTCCACTAGATTGTTTGGAATCTAGGTTCTTGCCTGAGAGGGTTCTAGCTATTTCATAGTCTCTTCTTGTTGCCTTGCCCTACTGTAGTTTCTGTTTTCACCGTCATCTTATGGAAGAAATTGTATCTTTTTGGACTTCTATGGACCATTAGATTTACTGCCCAATATTTTGTTCTGTTGTTGTTTTGTTTTGTCGTCCTCAATTGCTTCATCTTCTGTCTTAACTCTCCCATCTTCCATCTTAGCCCACATCTCTGGCGGGATCCATGGCTTTGTTCATTTTTCTTTCTATTCCAACACATCATTACAATTCATTACATGCTGAATTCAAAACGCTCTTGTATTTCTAGCTATTTTTGCTAAACACTTTTTTTTGCCCACTTTCCTTGGGCAAAGCTTGCAGTGCATTGTAGGAGTCCTCTTTCTCTTCGTCTGTTCCAAGATCTATGGTGCATATCCCTGAATTAAAGTTGTTTTTCTTCCCTTGACATTGAAACGATTTAAGTCATGACGAGATAGGCTTCCATGCAATCAAAGCATTCGTTGCTTCTGGAAACATCATTAGAGCTACACATTGGGTGTGTTCATGATGTTTATCCTCATGGCCTGAGCAGCTCCCGTAATCCACCTGGTTTGGCCACTGCCATTCCACACTATCTCGCTTGACCCCAGAACTTTAGTGTTCACCTTTTCGTATCCCATACCGCCTGTGATTATCATCTGCCACCATACAGGGATTTGATGTACCTGGTCCATTCCCTGGATTTTGTTTTGGGCGTTAGGAGGTTTGACATCCAGCCAGATTCATTGATGCTTTCACTAGTATGCATCATTGGCTCTTCATAAGAGGCACCTTCTCTACCAAGATGACGTTGGTTGGGTGTATTTGCACTTGTTCTTTTTTTTTTTGCGAGGTGGGATTGCTAGCCCCCCGCTCACCCTTTCTCCTTCTGTGTTTGGGATCGACCAAAGACAAACTACTATTTTTAAAATTGTAGTATTTTTGAGCTTATTATTATAAAGGTTTGTTATAGGCATACTTGTTTTATTATTGACCTAACCTGCTTGGAAAAAAGCGCTTTTTTCTAATTCTGGTCAACTGACGATTATCTCATTTTAAGTCACTCTGTTATTGGGTGAAGACTAAAGTTGAATATTGTCTATAGTGGTTTGGGCCACCTTTACATACCTAAGTCTAAAACACAGTTTTAACTCTGGCTTATAACCAACAGATAATCAAAAACGATTATACGTATATTAAAGCAATATTCATGGTCAAAACTGATACAGTTTACAAGCAAAATTTAAATATGTTTAAAAGAAATCTAAATACATTTTTTAAAAAAAAAACATATTTTTTTACCATTAAAGTATGATTACTGAGATTTAAGAATAGATAATTATGAATAAAATCATTTTATAACAAACTAAAATTAGAACCAGTGGCGTCACAAGGCGGGGATGGAGGTGAGAAACGCACGGAGTGACGCAATCCAAGGGGGTGACACCAAAATAAATGGTGCAAGTTTTAATACGAAGTTATGCTTGTATCAGTAACATGGTTGATTAAAGTCATATACGTAAATATTCTTTAGATGATTCCAGGAGCGAGAGACAAATCCAGGGCTAGAGTTATAAATGGATTTAAAGCATTGGTGGGTGTAGGGGGCTGGTTACCCCTACACTCAACGCAAAAATACAAAAAAAGTCTGTTGCCATTGTCTAGGTCTGGCGTTACCCGCAACAGTTTTTGTTTAGTTTTAGTGTAAACACAAATATAACAGCTTGTTGAAAAGTCGGTATTATATTTTATACTGTTTTAATGTTGTTACAAGATTGTTACTAATTCATTCGTTTCACTTTTGATCGATAATGTTACAAAAATTATGCATTTCAGTCATATCTAAGCTATTTAAAAGTTACACCCTGTTACAAATGTGATACCATTGTATTATTTTCCTAGTCTTTAATCAAATGTTAAAATATTTACACAGTTTTAGACTTTTTATATTTTTGATCATCTACACACGAAATAAAGTGATTATCATGTATGTGTCTTGTTTTCTTTGAAAATTGTTGAACTTATATTTTTTTTAAAAAGATGTGGAGGTCTACGTTACTGGTACCGACTTATTAAATATTTGGACAGCATGTCTACAAACAATTCACTCAATACGGAAACAATTTAAAATACATAACAAGACGGGTCCAGATACTACGTTATATGTACAACACCAACAATAGTAGCTTTTGTTTAGCTCGAAGCAAATCACTACAATAATCGGAGGTCTAATCCCATTTTGTAGTCGCAGATTTGTGAAAGTTATTAAAAATTATTAAATATTTTAAATTAGCTAAATTCACACTAAGATAATTTTATCCCTATTCCTCAGTCGTCGCAAAATGCCTCTAATATCCTTTAAATGACATCGCAAACTGACACCCTCCATTCTCAAAATTACTCAAATACCAAATCAAATAAAGTGTTTTTCTGTACTTCAGTCAAATCTAAATACAAAAAAATAATATGGTACGTCACATTTTATTAAACCCCCACCTCCACAGAGAAGTGCTAGCTCACAAAATTCACCAACACTATGTGTAATTCTAAATCCCAATTCCAATTCCAATACTAAACACAAAACTTGCCGTAAAATAAACTTTGCCAGTATGATTCTCTATTCTTTAACTATAACCGTGGCTCTAAACCTAACCCAACCTTATACAAACCATTAAAAAAACAGTTGTTTATCAATAACTTAGTTTCTTGGCCAACTTTGTCTTACCCCCTTGTCTTAGAATAATTTCCTGAAAGGTTGTCCTAAAATTAGTGCTCATGGAGAGGTAGATGAAGAGGTGGACCGAGGCGTTAATGAAATCCACGGCCATGACGGTGTAGGCGCACACGTTGAAGAGGTTGTGGTACCTCTTTAGGTAGTAGAACTCTGGCTCCAGCATCTTGCCGGCGTACAGCATCAGTCGGGGGATGAGGGCCACGATATAGACGATAATCACCACCAACAACATCTTCACCACTTGTTTATCCCGTGACGTCATATCCGCTCGTTTCGAATCTGTTTTCGTCTTGTGCGCAGAATTCAACCGGAATTTCGACATCTTCTGAAGCTGTACGAAGATGATGATTGTGCAGACGAGAATGACGACGAAAGAGAAAATCGGGTTCAGGATGCCTATGAGGTTGAAGTAATCGATTATTTTTACGCCGTGGATTTTATAGACATCGTTGTATCGATACACGACTATGGTTTGGTTGAGGGCGACGTCAAACACCCAGACGATATCGTAGACGAAAAAGATGACGCCGAACGATACTATAACGAGTATCGATATGAGAAGCATCATGAAGAACGTGAGCTTCGGCGTGAAGATAGCCTTGACTTTAAAGGGCACGCACACGCACAGGCACCGCTCAAAGGCGACGTAGGCGGCCAAGACGTAGGTCACGTAGTTGGTGAACACCTGTAGGTAGTTGATCGTAGGCGTGGTCAAGTTTTTCCAGGTTTTCTTGTAGACTGGTGAATACCAGCCTAGCGGGCCGTAGATGCGGATAAACAGTCCAAACACGCACCTGGCCAAGTCCCAGATGGCCATGGTTGTCAAGGAGATGTTGACGCTGTCTTTGAAGCCCTGCGCGGTGAAGACGATGATGTCGAGTGTGTTGGTGACGACGCCGACGGCGGCCAGTACCGAGATTAGGCCGACGTCTAGAAGGTTCTCGACGTAGTCAAGCTGGGTGTTGGTGACGAATATCTCCAGCGGTTTGAAGGGGGTGGCCGCTGTTGTGGTTGTGTTGAGCGACGTGGTTGGCGTCGTGGGTGTGGTGGACGGGGAGGCTGGCGTTGTGGGTGTGTTCATGGTGCCCGTGTATGTGTGTGTGAGGGGGGTGGGTTCTCACTTGTGTGTTTTTCTTTAGTTGTGTGTAGATTTTTTGTGTGTGGGTGTTCAGCTGTGTCGAGTTTTTCACTTTGTGAGGGTCGTCAGTTGATTGAAGGTCCTTTCTTGTGTAGAGCTCCTTGCCAGTGTGTGGGACCTCAGTTGTGTAAAGGTCCTCAACGAAAACGTCTCGCACGTAACTAACAAAGATTGCAACTTCACCGACACATCTTATAGAGCTGTATATAAATAAAACATGGATTTTTAAAATATAATAGACAATGGTTATATTTTTTGTTCAAAGTAATGTATTCGTCATCAGTTATATAGATCTAGACTAATATCTAATTCATTTGGTAAACAGCTAATAGCTTAGTGAAAACGTGCCGATTTTGTTGTTTATCAATCACGAATGTGTAATTGTAATTCTTTACTAGTTACTATGATATTTTTGTAATTCTATCAGTTACTGCAGAATGGTTGATACTATCACAACCCAACCACTGGATACGGCGTCTTTGTTCCAAAAATTAAAAAAAAAAACACGAGTTTTCATAACTTTAAGTTTGCTCAGTGTAAGAATGACTAAAATATGTCCTTCTATTCAATGATAGTTCATGCAAAATAAGACCATTAAATACCTTCTCAAAATGTGCAGCTGTTGTTTTACTTATGGACTACTACAATATGTTGATTATCACAGGTTTTCAATGCAGCAAATATGTCTGTAACTATCTGTACTATATCTGTAACTACTGGCATCGTAAGGTAAACAGGGTCGGTCTGAAGTGGAACTTCCTGTGATTAAATACGTTTCAATTCTTAACTCTGTCATTTATAGGTTGAGATAGTTAAGCTTAAGTAGTTTTTAAAATATGGACATATCCTTCTGTGAGATAAAACCGCTGGCTAAGAGTACTAAGACATAAGTATAAACTCTGACACTAACCGATTGATGTACTGTTTGACACTAACCAACTGATGTTTGACACTAACCGACTCATGTACTGTTTGACACTAACCGACTCATGTACTGTTTGACACTAACCGACTGATGTACTATTTGACACCAAGTGTGAAAAATGCCACAAAGTAACACAGGAAGACACTGGAGCAACTCAAGCAGAACCCCTGTCTATAAGAAAACTTCTCCAATCTAAATTAAACAGGTTTTATCTTTGATTTTCTCCTTGTAAGATCAAAGACCTTCAGGTGTAACATTATACGCATTTTGCCTCTAATTTCTACAATTAACGGACATACCAGTTATTAAATCTTTCAGTCTGTAATATAATGGGACATAATCGGTATTTTAAAGCTTTAATACAAAAACACCCTACCCTTCAAACCAGATGAATCTCTAATAATTTCTCTAACACAGCTTTTAAATTGTGAAGCTAATTATTTCCGTACCTGCGACTAGATTAAAACCTATGGTGTGACGTAATTACAGATATCTACATTAATCTTAAATCAGAAATCAATGAAGCGTGTCAGTCCCATGGCCCTGTTTTAACCAATTAGAGCAGGTATTTTTCACCTGCAATCTTCGTGGTAGTTTATGAAATTTCCCCTAATTACAGATCTATTCCCTGAAGATCTTTTCCTATTTTTAAACTCTTCTCAACTAAAACTGTTATTGGAATAATAACATGTTCCCGAATCGGTTTCAATTTGTTTCGGATGTGTGGTTACATTTTATATTTTTAATCCTACTTTTTTGGCTACTCGTCTTTCTGCATTTGTTAGTTTTAGTAGGAATCAAGAAAATTTAAAAACGTAAAATTTTCTAAGGTAATTTAAGTTGAACTAATCTTAAACCACAAATAGATCTAGTAACATATGCTCCTTCATTAATGTTTATCATAACATTATTTATAGTTAAAGTATACAATTAAGTCCAGCTATACGTGTATAGTAAAAATGTCTAGCTTTGAGGTATGATCCATTGAAACATAAAGGGGTAGCCTGTAGTTCTACAGCATTTGCTGAACATTGTTAGCTATTCAAATATTGAGTTTACTATATGCAGGCTAAACACAAAAATAATTCTTGACATCATTCATATAATTATATTATATCATTGGGACGTGTTTGTTGTTGTAAAAATAGGTAGATAGAATGTTTCATCTTTTTTTAAAAGTTAAGAGATTACTTTAAGCAGCTTTTGGTTGGATATGAAAGTTGACTGTGACAAGATATATACATGACTGTTGACTGTGTATACCAACGCATACATCCACCATAGACATCCGCTGTACTCACTGAGCGACAATCAAACCTCCCCCACCCAGTGACAATCAAACCTCCCCCACACTGACAATCAAACCTCCCCCACCCAGTGACAATCAAACCTCCCTCACTCTGACAATCAAACCTCCCCCACACCCAGTGACAATCAAACCTCCCTCACACTGACAATCAAACCTCCCCCACCCAGTGACAATCAAACCTCCCCCACACTGACAATCAAACCTCCCCCACCCACTGACAATCAAACCTCCCCCACCCAGTGACATCCAAACCTCCCACACCCAGTGACATCCAAACCTCCCCCACCCAGTGACAATCAAACCTCCCCCACCCAGTGACAATCAAACCTCCCCCACCCAGTGACAATCAAACCTCCCCCACCCAGTGACAATCAAACCTCCCCCACCCAGTGACAATCAAACCTCCCGCACCCACTGACAATCAAACCTCCCCCACCCAGTGACAATCAAACCTCCCCCACCAAGTGACATCCAAACCTCCCCCACCCAGTGACAATCAAACCTCCCCCACCCAGTGACAATCAAACCTCCCCACACTGTGTGGCTCTGGGTTTCATCAAGTTTATATTGATGTTGAATGAAAACTTGTTTATTTATAATTTATTTAAACAATCCTTCAAGATTTATAGTAGATTTCATTAAGTTAGCCTTGTTTATTTCTAGTTTTTCATCTGTGCTGTTCAGTTCGATGTCTAGGGCAGGGGTGGATGAGGTTTGGGGGTGGGGAACTTTACACATTTTCTCGAGTTTTTAATTTTCCCTGTCACGAGTTTGGCTAGTCTATCTCTCAAGTATCAGGACGCCCCGCGGGCTCACAGAATCAGAGCCCCAGGGTGTCCCCATTGCGACATTTCCTGGGGGTCGGGTGTCGTCAGTCTGTGGGCGCGGTGGAGCATCAGTTTTCACAGTTCATCGTGCGGCGGTGAGGATTGAGGGCGAGTGTTGGGGAACATCCGCTGTTGTTGTTTTTTTTTGTTCCTGTCTGTCCATTTTTATTTTCCCCCCGAGCCCCAACAAATGATCTGTCGTACCTAACACCCGCCCGTATTTTCCCCGGCTGGACCGGTGACGTGTAGGTGTTTAAGACACAATACATTTGTAGTGTCCGGCCGGACCGCGGTCGCGGGAACAAAACACCGCGGCGTCGGGACAAAACACGGAGTGTATTCATGCGCTGATGAAGCCCTCGGCTCGACAAAGCTTTTCAAACTGGCCGGACGTGACGTCGATGGTTTAGGTGACAGCGGTCGCTCCTGGTCAACTGGACACTCTTGACCATCGACCGTTGCAAATATTACCCCCCCCCCCCCTCCCGCTCCATCCACATTTCACGCCCATCATGATCTCGGTGTCTTAATGGCTTTCAGACGCCGTTCAAGGTCTGACCCCCCCCCCCCCCCACACCAACACACACACTCATCTTAAGCTATCTTCTATAAAAAATTAAACCGCGTTATACACCCATACATGAGATGTGTGTATGATATCTCTGAGCAAACATGTGTACATATTTAAACAACTGAGCCTATCTGGTATATGGACATATGCTTTACGCGTCCCAACTCTTTATACAAATTATGAGAAACAGAAAACTACTTTTCTATGTTATTATTAAGTCTATCACAACTTCAAAATTTTGTTCTTTATTTTTATATTTTAATCCAAGAGTGCCGAGTTCATTCTGCTACTTTACATGCTAACAAGTATAGAATCCCTAAAATTATTAAACTAATTATTTGTTGTTTAACTTCAGGAAAAAACTGACTTTTATGTTAGACATATTAAACCACGGGAGTTAGGTTACGGTAGGGTTTAAGTTTGGATTTCATAGAACTTAATTTAGAGCCGGAAGACGTGTAATAGTTAAAGGTTTAGAAACAGATTGATCTAGTGTTTTTTTAACTGCTTAAAAAATAGCGTGGTGCGGTTAAGGTTTGGCTAAAATCAAACTAAATGTGTAGCGATCAGTTGACCACACTATTCTAATTGTGTGTGAGGGGGGTGGGGTGGTTGAATAGAGGGGGGGGGGGGCATGCGCAGGCCAAGATGGCAACACTCATGCCGGACCCTCAATGACCTGGCAACCCAAAGCTCTCATGTTTCAAGCAGCTGGTCAAGGAGGTTTGCAAGCAAATTAAACTGGACGCCCGATGGAGATCTATTAGCCGGACATGGCGGGGTGCACCCATAAACCTAATGACGCCGGCCCGGCCATTGTCCGGCACTAACACCAAGAACAAAAGCCGGAAATACCGGCACGGCTGAAAACTTCTGGAGAATTTCGGCCATTTTGTGACCTATCCTGGCAGGATCGGGCTGTAATGGGCTTGTGGGGAAAAAATCTGGACAAGTAGTGCAAGCCAATAGCGGAACTAAGTCGAAAAGCGCCGTGCTAAACTGGCAAGTAATCCGCGTCAGTGATTTTTATAACGTCTGCTGTGTTGTGAAAAAAAAAAGATATCTTTTCACGGCTGACGGAAAATCTATTCAATGAAATAAACGAGGTTTTTAAACGATACTAACACTGGCACGAATTTCTTTACGCGCCGACAAGATATGCCTGCTTGTAGTCTCAGAAGATAGACAGATGTCTTTATTTCACAACACTGTTAATCGACATGTTGTCTTCTATCAGATCTCATGTAGTGATTCCTTTCCCCCACCCTACGTACATTAAAGGTTGTGAAAGGAACTAAGACCCCAAGTAGA